ATCCTCTCCATTGACAACGTACGTCCAGGAACAGAGGGGAACAGGGCTCTTCGATGACTAAGCAGGAGACAAACCGTCGCTTGATTCAGTTGTCCAGCATCCACACGGGAGAAGAAAATAAACTTCAGCGTCAGATATATTGATTTAGGCCTCTTTCAGTAAATATGGACTGAAGAGAAGAAGAGAAGTCTCCACAGTTGTTCCTCTTGTGCGAGACGGAGATCAATAATCCTCCACCTTGGTACGAGCTGGTCTACCTGTCCTCCATGTGTTAATGAACAACTGTGCAGTGTCCATGCACCAGTCAGAGGGAGGGTAGGGCAGGAAAGACTCCGACACTCCCTCTGGATTGACGTCTCTCTTAGAAACTCACCAATATCATAATAATTCACTGAGTTTGCAGACATGAGGTTCAGCCCTTCTCTAGGTTACATCTTCACACTGAATCAAATCAGGGATTATTCCCAAATCTCCATTTATGACCGATTTGCCTGCGAAAGTGTGACAATGAAACCACCTCTCTTGTATCTTTGCAATGACAAGAACAGATAAATTCTAGTTTCACGACTTATAAAACATTTATGTAGACGGTGGAATCTGTGCTGACAAATATTTAGCCTTAAAACTCAATCTGGTTTGTTGTGAGGACAGACAGGGGCAGGGACGGCTTGCGCGTTGAGAGGAGCAAAGGTCAAAGGAGGCCATAAAAGTGAAGGCTTGTGTTGAGCTGATAAATATTGTCTGTTATAAAAGCAGGGCGGATTGACTCTATAAAAGTCCTGACCGAACCGCTGCACCAGTCACACCTCATTCTGACAAAACCAGCTTCAATCCTGACAAAGTAAAACACAAACAACCTGTTTCACACTGTTCTGCTGCTTCTCTGCTGATAAGACTCATTTAAAGGAGAGTGGAGAATTTAGAGGCGTCTGAGGCTGAGGGGCTGCAGATTACTACAATATGAAAGTAGGAGAACCTACTATTCAGGAACATGAGCGGCTGTGGAGCCAATGATTGGTTTCCAATCTAGGCTTCTGTAGAAGGGATCTTTCTACGCCTACAGAACACAACAATCATTGGTTTCAAGTGTTTGTACAGGAATGGAAACATGATTATTCATTTTATTTTTCATTTCTGCCAATAGATCCCCTCTAGATCCTACACTCTGGTCCTTTAAAGAGTTATCTTTAAGATTGAAGCCATATTAACAATTTCTTGTAAAGTCAGATATGTGTGACATCACCCACATTTATCCTGTTTGATTTCCTCAAATAAACTCACATTCAACACCAAAACCCACAACATTATAAAACAAAGCAAACAGATGAAGATGGGCTAATGCTCAATGTTTCCTCCAAAACCTTCTGTCCTCCCAGTATCATCACAGAGCTTCCTGTCTGTCCACCACCTCACAGGGTCGTAAACGTCTTAAGCAAACACACATACACCGGTTGACGTTGTAATAGCACGGTAGGTAGAGGCACAGCCATTTAAACAGGTTAATGTGAGGAGGCTGTCCATCTCTGCAGAACAGAGGAAGTAAAAACAGCCTAAATGGGACAAAACTCTTAGTTTTATTGTCTCTTCGCAGCCGTTTAATAGCAACTGAACATTGTTAATGTTGCTCTGAGCAAATGGGTCCAACTGAGCACTTTCCCCTGAAAGGTAGATAAGGTTATTTTCCAGCCAACTCACACGTAGGCCACACATACACACACACACACACATACACACACACACACACACACACACACACAAGACAGTGTTGATGCGAAAAAAAATGCATTTTGAGCAAATCGTTTCCGTCTGGTTCCGATTATTTTTTGTTTCACCCTATTGACCCCATTACAAACTTGGATGCTAAAGTTTATACAGAGATTATATGCAGTTATAAATATGACATGAGTAACTAGAAGTTCATACCTCAGCCAAGGCCGCACCAACTTTCACACGCTCATAGATATCAGTTCCCCAAATGTCCCTAAAGTCCCTAAAAGTTTTTTTAGTTATTCCCTGGGAAAATTGTTAAAAAGCGAAACGCCCTGTGTTCTATATGTCTTCTAATCCATGTTAACATGAATCAAAAACATTCCTTAATCCCCCCCCCCCCCGATTTGGATCCACACCAACATTTTTTCTTCCCTGATCGATTCTACATCCTACAACCAAGTTTTGTGGAAATCCGTCAAGTAGTTTTTATGTGATCCAGCTGACAAACAGACAAACCAACCAACAGCTGGAGTGAGAACAAAACCTCTCCAGTGGAGGTAATTAATAATTTACAAACGCAGACACAGAGAACAGGAAAGTCAGGGAATATTAAAAGACAGACAAACACTGTGTTGGTTTTGGTCTTAATCTTGTGGGATTTGTTGAGGATAGATAAAAGAAAATGTTCTTATCCGCTGAATAAAGGTTAAAGTTGTAAGACCCTGTCTGCTGGAGCTGGAAGAAACTTACTGAAGATAATGAAGCGCGTTATAATTTCAGAAGCTAATGATTAGTCTGTTTATGATAAGTCAGTCATGGCCCTCGGCCGACTCCTTCCTCATATGAATTACTAATTACTAACTCACTAATAAATCAACAACCTATAAATGAGAGACCTTAATGACATCAAATCGTTTGTCTTTCGCCACAATGAAGACGACTAATCACCACAAGGTCAAAACATACAAACTCATATACTGATACCCTAATTATGGCAAGACACTCAAACTCTACACTGAAAGGGGCCACAGAGCTTTGGGTTGATTTATGAGGACTGTGAAATGCAGAATAGATAAAAACGTATAAAAGTGATTTATGGTGCCGGTATTAAGCCTGTCACCTGCTGCAAAACTGCCCCAGACCAGAATTTATATCAACAATCAGAAGAGAGAGTCCAAGTGACCAGAGGAGATCAATCCACCAACTACCGTCAATAAAATGTATAGGTCGACTCTTGGAAAAATGATAAAGATATAAAGTACAGATTAATTTTGAATTGCATGTCCCAGACTGTGTGAACCCTCCAAAAAGAAATCCCATCATCATTAAGTTTTTTATATAAACAATTGTGGTATCATGTAAACAAAGCGATTTTTTAAAAGGTTCAAATACTGAAAATGATGATTTTATGATCAGAACCATAAAAATAAGTAATTGAAAGTGAAAACGTTTCAGGGAGGGGACATTTTCGTGCCAAAGGTGCTGCCAAGAAGTTTTTTTAAGGAGCCCTGAGGTTAAGAACACATTTTTAAAAGTAGGATGGAACTTGTAATTTAAATTTTTTTAAATTGAAGATGTTTCATATTCAGGTTAATGTTAAAATGTTGTTTTAACATTAAGGCTGTATTTCCATGACTGCAGCAAGTAGAAAGTTGACTCAGGTACTTGTAAAACACATATTTGTGTTCAAGAAAAATATTGTCATATGCAATGAAAAAGACTGGAGGGCTATTTGTTAAGTTCATCACTTCAGTCAACACGGTGGAACAGATGTGGGACATGATGTGCACATGTACACAGATGTTGAGGATGAAGTATTTCACAGGGGGTTCTGGGTAATGGCCTGACACAGTAAATCTGTGCCTCTCCCTCATGGTACCAGCTCTGTCTCTCTCCCATCCCGCCCTCTTGTGGATGTGTTGGCTCAGTTCAGATGAGACGCTGCAGTGTTGTTGAAACCAGGACGTCCATTCACACATTATGTTTTTATGTGAATGAGAAAAATGTCCCAATAGCTTACGTACAGAGCAGTGTGATAAAGTTCTATCTTATCTCAGATAGGCTAATCTAATCTGATCTAACTACAGAGCACGTAAAATAATCTAATCTAGTGCATCATAATCTAATCATGAGAGGAAAAGGACAATAAACAGAACATTACTATTCCTTATGATGGGGGGGGGTATCTGAAGATCTCAGGAGGATCTTCAACAAACATTACATCCTTGTGCCCTTTGAAACTTGTCCATCCTGACAAGGATAAAACAAAAGTGTACACAGGTCAGTGCAGGAACACAAAGACCAGGGTTTCACAACATGGTAGAGACAACCTCTCAGGTCTGAAGAACTCGGGACGCTCGTCTGAGGACGGTAACCTGAACATCCTGAACAGAGACAAAGAAGCTGACGACATCAAACTGTAACAACAGTCACTCAACAGAGGAGGTGGTCTGTGACACCACTTATCAGCCACACGGCCTGAGTGGGACAAAAAACTCACATGTGACCTCAACCACTCCTCCCAAAAAACGTTTCGGTGCACACATCCACAATGGAGAATAAATGAGGCCTCAGAAGTGAAGCTGGGGGTAAAGACGTCCTTCAGGTGAGACGTGAAACGTCTTCAAGAACCTTAAACCCAGTCCAGTGTCCCTCTGAATAAAAAAAGATGTCCACCTGGGCATTATTTACCAAAACATGCTGCCTGCTGCCCAAACGTGAAGACAAAGCATCTTGATCGCTCCCTAGTGGCTGGCTGCAGTATAGGTCACAAATCCCACCTTCTTATGGGACATGGCTTTCAGCTTCATTTCTACATAATCAAGTGGAGATGCTTCGTCCATATTTATTCACAATCATTGCAATGAACTCACACACTGATTCAGAACCTCAGTGAATATTACTCGGCTACAGGGGCGAGCTGTGGGTTTAATGCAAAGTCTTTTGTGATTAAGAAACCGTAACAAACACAAACCTGCAAACTAATTCAACATCTGAGCAACATTCTGCGCATTTCTTATATTAAATACGGTGCATGTACATATCTTTATTCAAACGTTGTTGTATTTCCAGGAACCTTCTTGCGCCTCTGTTCTTCTTACTTCACTGACTTAGTTTCATCATGTTTGTCTTTGCTCGACCACAGTTCGTCCTCATCGATCTGAACACGTTGTGTTCGTTTCCTGTTTACTTTCCTCTGCAGAGCTGCTCTTCTGCCCCGCCCCCTCGGTCTACGTCACGCCCGTTCCTCCGGCTGTGATTGGCTGTCGGCCGGGCTGCGCTGCACTGTTGCAAAAGCGCCTCACACGTCGTGCACGCGTGTTTGTGTCGAGTGATCCGAGCTGGACCGAGCCGAGCCGAGACAACTGCGGTGCAGAGCCGAGGAAGAAGAGAATTCACCGACATCTGTTTTATTTATTTCTACACATCAGATCATTTCTCTTCTTTTTTTTTTGCACGTGCATCTGCTTGTGACATCTGCAAACAAGGAGAAGAGGAGGAAGAAGAAGATGGAGAAATTAAACGGCTTCTCCTCGGACAGGAACGTCCTGTGTCTGTTCGACGTGGACGGAACCCTGACTCGACCCAGAGAGGTGAGTTCTGCTCATTGTCAGCTTCTGTCCTCTGCATCCTGTGGATCCTGTCCAGACCTGGAGACAGACTGTGAGTCCAGAGGACACTGTGTCTCCTTCACCTCACTCTGTGTTTTAACTCATTGCTGCTGCTCCTTCCTGCACGGATACCACGTAGTGTTTACTGTAGAGATATAGAAGCCCTGATGTGTGATGTGGTCATGTGTGTAGATATCTTGTTTCCCATCTACCTAAATACACACTGACACTGTCCTGATGCCCCCATCTCACCTCATGGGTTTTTATAAATCTATATGAATATATAATCAAGAATCAATTGACTTATCTTGCACATTATCTGGAGGAGAATGTGATAATTCCCACTTTTCTGCATCATTATTAATTGTGTTTTTAGGAGAGAAATCCTCTGTATATTATTATTGTTGTGCGTTTCTATAATAATTTGTGTGTCCTCCTTTGTATGCCTGGGTTCATCTTAGGTAACGTGTGTGTGCCCAGATATGACGTAACGCAGCCTCCATGTTCTCAATAACCAGCCCCCTCAAGAAGAATCCTGCAGCCGTTTTCCTTGTTTTCTGCTGATTCTCATGTTGAAATGCCTGAATTACATTGTGCAATACATTTAACTTGATTATATGCATGTTCTGATGTGTGTATTCTGCAGAAAATCGACTCACAGCTGGACGAGTTCTTCCAGACTCTGAGGAGGAAGGTGAAGATCGGCATCGTGGGAGGGTCGGACTACTCCAAGATAGCAGAGCAGCTCGGGGAGGGGGACGATGGTGAGCTTCCTGCTTCCCAGAAAAACAGATGCTTTACACACTGTGCAATCATTCACTAAGCTGTGACACTTTACTGTACGGGAGCAGAGAGGATGAGAACCGTTTAAGATTGAGGCCACAAATCAAGAGTCAAAGAGAGAACAGCTGAACATCCTGACTTCATTAGACGATGACAACACGACAAGAGATATTACATCAGCTTTTATAATCCTCCTTTTTCTGTGTTGCAACTCATGAGGCCTCGTAAACATTTATTTCATAATGAGTAACTGTTGCATTTATCATGGATTCCCTGAAGTGATTTCACAACGGCACATCTAGAGCCACAGTTCAAAATAACCAACCCACTAAATTTAACCTCTCGTGCCTTTGCTGACATCTGAGCTCACGCGACACGACCCCAGCGGTTCGGTTAACCTTTATTTCCCCACGACCAAAACACGCTGGCACACTGCCCCCTCCGCTGCTGTGCCAACAACGCCCCAGCTGAGTGAACACGCGCGCACACACACACACACACAGTCACCTACACAGACCCGCTGGAAACCTGTTGATCAGTAAATATTAGACTGCACCTAGAGTGCAGACGTACTGTGCCAAGAGCGAGGCCCGGTGATATCATGCCAAATGTGCCAAAGGTGAATATTTCATGACGCACACGGTCAGCGTGGTTGCAGTTTCCCAAACTCTTTCACACAGAGCAGCATAATACAATTCTATCTTTTCTCAGACTAATCTAACTTCACCCATTATCACATTCACACCTCAGTTTAGGACTGTGGGAGGAAGCCAAAGTAAACAGAGAAAACCGCACGACAGCGAGAACGTGCAAATCAGACTCACGTACAGTCATCTGGAATTTGAACCAGAAACTTTAAGGGGGTTAATTTAACTTCAGAGAACAAAAGAACAATGAATGGATCATGTGATCACCTATCAAAACATGTTTTAAACTTTTGTTGTTATGTGGTTATAATTATGAGAATAATAACTAATGAGGAATCAGTTCACAATTAACATTTTATCCACTATTCAGCCGATTATTCATCATCTTCTAAATGCTGGTTCAAGTTAAAGCAGCTTTTCCATCAAAGTTCCTGCTGATTGACAGAGAACACACAGGCCACAGTGGGAAGGTCAAACAGATTAAACTTTTCCAGGCGGTGTAATGTTCAGTGTAACTTGCCACCAGGGGAAATATAGTGTTCTGCTCCTCTGTATTAATAACTGAGGTCAGAAGCTGAGTGTGCAGGTTGTTAAAGAGCCAGGTGAGAACATTTAGTTTCATCTCTCTTCCTCTCTTGCAGTGATTCACAAGTTTGACTACGTGTTTGCCGAGAACGGGACGGTGCAGTACAAAGACGGGAAACTCCTCTCGAAACATGTAAGTGCACGTTCACAGTGTCGAATCCATGGGTCTGCTGATGATCGACCTCTAAAACAATGAGACAGAGCGAAACATTTCTCGAAATTGATGACGCTTGTTTTCATCGCGGCAGGCGATTCAGAACCAGATCGGGGAGGAGCTTCTGCAGGACCTGATCAACTTCTGCCTCAGCTACATGGGGCTCATCAAGCTGCCAAAGAAAAGGTGACACTGACCAAACTCACACGACAGTTCGGCAACAACAGACATGAACTCTGCAGAATGTCTGCACAGTTGGGTCCTGACTTTCTGCAGAGTTTGCCTACATGCACAACGTGGAAGGAGATTCTCCGCTCAGAAGTGGAAATCTGTCGGGAGACTCTCCTCCTCCTCACATGGAGATCACGTTGGACATTATCCAGAGTTTTAACTTGGGGGCTGGCAGGAGAAACTCTCACATACAGCCCATCCGGAGAATGTCAGGAGATTATCTGGAGATCAATGCGTGTGTGAAAGCAGCTCTCGTCAATGCCCTCAGGTGGAAACACACACACAAACACACACACACTAGCTACGGTCCTGTAATTCACGTTTTCTTGGTATTGGGGGGGAAGCTCTGTGTGTTGATGTGGTGTTTTATGTCTCCGCCCCTGATTATACCTGGCATTAACACGAGGGTCTTATCGTAAGTGGACAGCTTTAAGTGCAGGTGTAAAGATGGTGCATTGAGATTAGCTGTAACTTTATAACCCAAGATGCATGTTGATGTCAGATGTAAACAAGTGCTTTAATGTCTTTTAACCACTTTAACTGCACCTGCAGGGGGACGTTCATTGAGTTCAGGAATGGAATGCTCAACATTTCTCCCATCGGTCGGAGCTGCTCGCCGGAGGAGCGAATCGAATTCTCTGAAATCGACAAGGTAAAATATTTTGTCATCGGCACGTTATCTTAGACCTGGTGCTCATGTCATCTAAACTCATGCATTTTAACACCTGAACCAAGTTTAGTTTTGGTATTTGTATGAATTGCGTACGTCTGGTCGTCATCACCTACGTGGGTTGTGTTTACCTTTACTTGACGCTGATTGGGTTGTCGACGTGTTTGGAGGTCAGAAGTTTTTCTAGCTGCTGTTTCTCCAAAAGTCTGAATTATCCCACTGCAAACATACATGTGAGTCACTGAGAGTCCTGGAGAACAACCTCTCTGTCTCTAGCTCTGTTTCATGAAATGTGCCCAGACACAGAGAGAGAGAGAGAGAGAGAGAGAGAGGTCAAACAATGGTGAGGTTTCAGCTCAACAGGCTCCTCATTGATGACCCACAGAGCTGATATGGAGGCGGGAGATAAAGCAGAGGAGGCAAAGTTTTACCCTTAAAGTGCCATGAGCTAATACTCATACAGCTGAATCCCATGTGACATTGATATACTGTAGTAGGTGATGTGGACGTTAACATGATCATTTCAACAGATTCAATCAGTGAGACCAAAGAGCGTCAGAGACACCGTTTTAAATGAACACACGTCTTCTTCCTTTTCTCCACAGAGGGAGAAGATCAGGGAGAAATTTGTTGCTGCACTGAAAGAGAAGTTTGCTGGAAAAGGTCTAAGGTTCACTAAAGGTGAGAGAGAGAGTGGAGAGATGAAAGATCATTTACAGGAATAAAAACTGTTGCTGCTTCTGTTTCTGTAATGAAGTCAAAAAAAGACTCTGAACTCCACAAACTTCATTTCAATCGGGAGAGACTCAAGCTGCTTTCAGACACTGAAGTCCTGACATTCTCCGGAGGGGCTGATGTGAGATCGTTAATGGGCGCGTTGATGACGCTTCTAACAAACGACAGTCGCAAATATGAAAAAGCAACCAAAAAAACAAATATCTCAGGATTAGGAAACAAATCTACACTGGATGACAGATTTTACCTGAGAAATAGGTGATTGAACTCTACATCTTCCACTGCAAATGGCAGCGATGTCACAAAACCACTCTGTCATTAGATATGAAAGAACATCCTCTTCTCTGCTAAATGGCAGCGATCGTTAGGCGAGAGTGTTCTGAGGACAAACAAGCGTCCAGGTCTCGTTTGTTTGTTTGTCCTCTGAACAGCCTTCAGCACCTCGCAGAGCACGTACGCAAACATCACGTTTCCGATTCACCTCACTGCTGCCGTGTTGCCTAACGGGAAGACGGAGCAGTGTGTTTTGCAATAGTTAACTGACGGCGCCTGATGCCCGACACGAAGTCCTCCACGCATCACTGAGAGCGAGAGGCAGCAGGGCCGTCTTTTCCAAACATCAGAGAGATCAGAGATAACAGACGACCACGAAAAACTGGTTTTTCATTTAACTGAGCTGCTGGAAGACAAGAACACAGATTAGCTTGTTTTTCCTCCACAGAGATAAAGTCTTATCTCACTCTGTCTCCGGAGAACGTCAGTCGATCATCCAGAGTTCAGTGTACGTCTGAACGCAGCTTTAATTGACACAGATCTGCCGTCACATCCTACATTATATTCTATGCAGCACTGTGAGACTCAAGACCCCTTGTGATCTTGTTTACCACTGCCGTTGAGTTGTGGGTCAGCTGGACGCTATCGTCACAGCTATCCTTGAAACGGACAGTGAACTGTTGTTGTCAGCGGCTGCTTCTAAGGCCTCAGTTATTCTCCCTCGCTGACGCACACACACAGAAGTTTGTGCTGCGGCCGCGAGGACAGAACAAACTGGAGGGTGACCCACCCGAGCACGGACAAATTCCCTCTCTGTAGTTAGAGACAAGCAAAACATTTGAGACTTGTGTGTGTACATGTCCCATATAGTGGTTAAGATAAGAGAGGAGAAGATATTTTCCATATTCGGCTTGTTTCTGTCTATTTTTCACCACAACATGTTGAGTTGTAGTGGAATCAGTTACACACACACACGCTTTGTCAGCAGCTCTGCTCAGGTACAGTCAGGACAGACAGTCAGGCGTCTGCAGATGTGGCTGAATCACTGAGATGTTTATGATCTGGGTTTTGAGGGCGTCTGGGAGGGAGGCGTGTGAGGGATTCAGCCCTCTGATTGGCCGGATGCCACTCAGCTGTTCCCTCTGTAATTGCCTCTTTAAAATGTCAGCTGAGAAACAAAGCACAGTCGGGGGAGGGACGACGGAGAGGAGAGAGAAATGGGGGAAACTCTGCAGGAGAGCTTTCAGCCTGATTTCACGGTTGAAAGGTCACAGCGATCATTGAGCTCAGCTGAGCGACAACAGATCTCTTAAGTGGCAGAGCAGGATGAGCTGTAACGAGCCAGAGCTGCAAAAACACACACTGGCAAACATCCTTTGTCCGAGCCGGAGCCTTAATCACACCAACCACCTTATTGTTCGGTCAAATATTAACACTTACCTCTGTCAGCTGCAGGGATCTTCAGAGGTAGAGGGTGAATCTAACTGCCGTCATCTCGTTGTAGGTGGTCTCATCAGCTTTGACATTTTTCCGGAGGGCTGGGACAAGAGACTGTGTCTAGAGCTGCTGGATAGAGAGGGACTGGACACCATCTACTTCTTCGGCAATGAGACCACAGATGTAAGTTCGTGTCGGGAAGTGAAGAGCTAAAGTCCTGAGGTTTATACAAAACAAAACAAAAAGAGCATGAACACGTATATAAACAGCATTTAGACCCTGTTCAGACCAGGTGTTAACATCTGACAGAGGTAGAGGGCTCAGTCATTCACTGTGAATAGGTCAACAAGATTTTAAATCACAAACATGTTGGAGTGGTCCGAGGTCAGGGAGCGTATGAAGGTGCTCTGTAAACATTAACAAACTGAAATCTCACACTGTTTGTCCAGGAGGTCACATGACACAGTGGTAGGTGACTGAAAGAATTTCTGCTGTGGTTCGTTTTGGAGAAACAGAAGAAAAAACCGATGTGTAAAATGAATGATTCTCTCTGCAGGGAGGAAACGACTTTGAAATTTTCAGCGACCCGCGGACCATCGGTTTCACAGTTTACAGCCCAGACGACACGGCCAGACTCTGTCGGGAACTTTTCTTTGACGCTGCACCGAACGACTCCTGACGCACTGACACTTCTCCCTCCACCCGCTTACCCACAAGCCCCTCTGAGCTGTGGGTTCCTGCTGAGATTTTTTTATGAATTGAAGTTTTTTTTTTTATTCTCCTTTTAACTTTCGGGGGTGATTTTAACTTCTGCGGTGATTTCTGAAGTAACTCAGTAAGTGTTACATGGAGACGTGTGTTAATAATGTGCCAGAAGACGTGTTGGACTGTGACGTGTAGCATGTAACAAGCTAACCGTAAAGCTTCTTAAGATTACGAAAGAAAAGTGAATACTCCAGTAGAGTATAGAATGATGTTTTGCACTAACGTTGGAATAATCTTATACCAGTAGTTGGTATAGTTTGTTGAATTCTACTGAAGCACGGGGAGAGATGATGTTAAACAGGTGACTCTTGGATGTGAGATATTAACGGAACTTTGAAGAAGACGGGGACATTTCCTCCTCGAGAGTCGAGGACGTAAGAATCATTCCAGATGTTGTGACATCTCTGAACTGGAGGTAATTTATTGACGGTGCGACCCCCTGAATGTCAAACGTCTGTGTTCACCTCACAAAGCTACTGGAAATGAAAGAAGCATGATGTTGTATTTATATTTAAACTGAGGATTATTGACTCGATGATTTCATCTTAACCAGGGAACTAAGCTACTCTGACTCTGTCAGGCAGTGCGACAACTTTTAACATGAAATCCTTTTTTAAGCTGTACCAGGGACTGTGGGCTGATCGCTCGGTGACTGTTCTGAAGCCTGTTGCTTTTTTTTTTTAGCGTAAAGGGTGTTTGTGAAAATAACTTTAATTCTTTTTTTAACACTATTATTAATTTAATAAACAAGTTAATGTTTTTATGAAAAATAATTACTGTTGAAAATAGGAGGCTTTTGATATGTCACCTGTAAACATCATGAAGACACAGAATTCACTTCTAACATGTCACTGATGCAAACTGTAAGATCCGTCATGTTGTTGTTTTTCAGTCATTAAATATTTCAATTTACTGTAATAAATCTTTTTTGGAACATTCCACTGACTTCAGCTCTGCAGTGTCTTTACAAACCCAGTTAAACCAAACTGGGTTCTGACCTTTGCCCCTTGTTCAGACGTCGATGTTCGCCAGGCTGCAGATTCTCCTCCTCATCTGACCACTGGAGGGCACCGGACACGTTCACGTCCTGCCCACACAGGAGACGTTTGAATTGAATGTGTAAAGTGAGGATGTTATTGTCGAAAAGAGACACTTCATGATGAGGATCTGAAAATGCTTTAATGTTCTTTCAAGGCTCAGCAGAAGACGTCACGGGGATCACCACCACTGTGGCTCCTCCACCAAACAAAGTGCTCTCTGATGTGACAAATCCACGAAGCTTCACGTCAAACTGATTCAGACAGCGACCACAACAGATGAGAGGAGACGAGACTCTACGGGACAGACGGAATAGAAACGATGTGACGTTCACAACCTGAATGACAACATTTCTGTGAGGGTGAACTGTATTGGCACCGGTTATGAAGTCATGTAGTTCACACGCAGATACGACTTCTTTCTAATAGTAGAAAAAGAGATTCTGAATTTCTTTTTTTTTTTCGTGGCTGCAGATTCTTTCAAAAAACCGGATCTTTTTTTTTTTTTCACACTTCAAATTTCTTCTGTGCAAGCTTTTCACTCTAGTTCCCAAAATATAGAGCTTGTAATCTGAGGACACACAAATCATCAAATAAATATTTCAAATAAATAACCACAAACAAGACAATACAAGGATATGCAATCTCTCTTGCATTCACAGGAAAACACTGAACACATTTTCTTCATGTTTTTAAAAACCATATTGACTCACAATAAGGTCTGTTCTCTTCAGGTCCTGCTCTCACATTATCTTTTTCTGGATTCCCAACTTCTAATTTACTCAAACCTTCAAAAACTTTCTGGAATTAAACTTCCTTATCGTCCCTATATTATGTTTTTATCCGGTGACCTGAAACTCAAGAGAAGGAGGTCACAAGACTGTTCAATGAGGAGTTTTGTGTTTGTATTTCTATGCTCTGTTTATGTAGGACTAGCTTTTAAGAATCCCTTGTTTGCATATATGAGACCTGCTGCTTTGACTCTGTGTGAAGCTCAAGTGAGTGACGGCAGGTTATCAACCGGGAGCCCAGAGCGCAGACGGGCTTCTTCATCCACTAGCAGGTGATTTGCTGATCTTTCTTTTAAACCCATTATCTCTGTAGTTTGATTCTCACGTTAACATTTTCTTTCCAAAGTGTACTGAACTGTAACTCCAGTTCAATGTTGCAATAACAGGTCATCTGCCCCTCACATGAGAACCTGGAAAGTTTGGTGAAGTAAACAAATGCATAAGAAGAAGTGAAACTGAAGTCAAGATTTTGTCCTAAGTCGTTCTCCCCTCCGTACAAACACTTGACTTTTGACTTTGAACAGAAACTAGAGATGAATGGTCAGTTTCACATACACAGCAAAGTCCTCGGTGTCGTAAACAGACAGTTCCTCATACTGCTCACTGTGCTGTGTAGGTGAAACATGTTTTTTTAAGATAAGGTTTAAGCTCAGAATGTCACCAGTCCCAGGGAACCTCTACCACCCCCACCCCACCCACCAGGCCCGACACTCCGGTTCTACGAGCTGATGATCTGCCCGGACCAGGTCTCGTGTTTCGTCCCTGGGTTGAGATGTGTGATCTTCACCTCCACCGCCTGCACCTTCAGGTTTTTGGGCGGGACCCGGCTCACTTTGTACGTGACCTCGTCGCCCTCGACCGGGACGTACTCCCCGTCAATGCTGTAATGGAGAAACATTGGGACGATTATGTGTGAGGAAGACAATTGTGAATTTGTGAAGGTGATTTTCATTGTGTTTCATTATTTAATTTTGTCCCCAAACCTTCAGAATAGTAAAGAATCAAGACTGAACAATGTTGTTTTCTTGTGAACTGGATTATTTCAAGGTGCTCACAGACGTCCTTTAGAACTACTAACAAACAAATGGCCTCAGAGCTTCATCCTTCACACACAGACTGGAGAGACTTTCATTCTCAGCCAATAAACTAATTGGCAAAACTGTCAAACACCAAACTCCTCTTTTAAAAGGAGGAGACAATTTCCCAGAGTGCAGTTGTTCACATGCACACATTAGAGAAGCATAGATCATGATGTTTGGCTCAGATATGACTGGATCATCAACTGCATATTCGGTTTGCGTATATTTTGCAGATTTGCATTTGCTGAGGCTGTAAGAACATTTGATGTATCGCCTGCAGAGAGAAGTCGCTGTGCTCTCTGTCCAGTTACTGCAGGTGTAGCTGTGTCCTGGGAGAGCTGGGAAAAAAATAGCCATCCCTTTAAAAAAAAAAGTACCTGCTGTACATAAAACAATGTTTTTGCTGAGCTCTTTAGCTTCGTCAGGAGTTTTTGTAGTTGGTGCGTGCTTCAATTTGTAACTCAGCTAATGTTGTGTGTCTCTGCTGTGAGATGTGCATGGTTTCGTGTATTTTTTGCCACTCACTCTGAAATGTGAACGAAGATGTCTTCGCCGCCGTGGGAGGGCCGGATGAAGCCGTGACCTTGTGACCTGGAGAAGTTCTTACACACGCCCTTATACGCTGGACCTGAGTGGGCACGCACTGTGCTGCAGGCACGAGAGGAGGAGGAGGAAGACAAGGAAGAGCTCGCATCATTAACCATAAAATGATTCATCCCACTGTGACTCACGGTCGTATTGTTCCAGCAGAGAATAGAAACAAACAGAACGAGTGACAGTTACAAATCATGGTTCAGGCCCTTTTGACAGTGAGAGGAGGATTTATAACGGAGGTGAGAAGATGAGAAGAAGTGCGGCAGCAGGGATGAGAACGCTAATCTGCTGAGTCACAGTGTAAACAGGACAGAATTTAACCTTTCGTCACTGATGAAGAAAACCACGATAGAAGCTGTGAGACACGGCCGAGGATGTAGGAATATTAATATTCAACACTTTAAAGCATCAAAAGTAAAAGTACTCATCATGCACAACATGTCAGAGTCCGATTCTTGTTCCTGATGATTTGATGGACAAGAGCATTTTAATTTAACTGATCAAGCTGAAGATAAAAACTTGATTACAAAGTTTACCCCCACAGATAAGGTTTTGTTTTCATCAGCGTCTCGTGGTTTAGACAAAAACTACGAGACAGATTACCACAGTCGGAGGAGAAGCACTTTCATTTTGGTGCGGATCCAGGATTTTCTTTTTTCTCCTTTCTTTGACCTGGCAAGTTCAGGTGTTTCAACATTTTCTCAGTAGAGTGCACACTTCTCCCCCAACAGTCACATAATGAAACCAAAATTAAATTCACTAGATCTCAACACACTGCACACACTCAAAAATATCAGTTCTCTAAACATGCCTGTTGGACCTTGGTGGAGGTTTGAGCTTTACTCAGTGACATTCAGAATGTAGCCTACAGCAATGCATTGTATTATTTTATAAGCTCATACTTTATGTAATATAATCTGCAAAGCAACTACAGTTGTCAGAGTTAGTTGAACCACGCTATTAAAATAACACTTCATATGTTT